ACTTTGGATATGTCCATAGCTGTCGTTTCTGGGTTATGTTATCTTGCGTATTAATGGTCTGTTGTTATTTGCTATTTTTGGTTCTTGTTCAAAGGACTTCCTTTAGCATCTCTTGTAAGGTTGGTCTGGTTTTAACAAATTCCCTTAGTTTCAGCAAAAACAACAACATGAAACATGGATTAATTCTCACATTTCTATCCCACACAGGTAACCAAACAAGCCTTTTCATCAAGAATACAGACAGATCTACTGAAAGATTTCTTTCACTGCTCTGGTTTAACCTCCCTGTAACTCAGCTGCTGGAGGACATCTTCTTTCATCTCAAATATGTGATGAAGAAGCTTTCTTGTAACGGATCTCTGGATCCCACATTTCACTCGTCTTTGGATTGAGTTGGGCCAGACCTCAGTGTCAGGCTGCCAACTGAAGAGTGGTTGTGGTTGCCAACCTTCCACTCAGTTTACCTGCCAATTTTTGTAACTCAGACCAGTAGGTCCTTGTGCTCTAGTTCCATCCTGGTCATTCCCCGGAGAGAGAGAGAGAGAGAGAGACCCCAACTGACTCTGGAGATGTTTCCTCATCTTCCCCACTCCCATCTCCAATGTAAATGGGAGAGGGTGGGGCTAAAAACAAAACCAAAAACTTGTTCATGGAAGCTTTTTCCAAGGAAAAACTTGTCCAAATCTTTCTGCACATAACCTTCAGTGGTATGATTATGTGGGTGTTCGTCTGTGTGGGAAGGTATCAATGGATTCAGTTATCATCTTCTTATCTTAAATGGCACCGTGTACTCGTATTGCCAGGCACAGAGGAGGCACTCAATGAATGACAGCAGAAATGATCTTTTTCTTACCCCCTTCATCTTCCATTCTCCCCTTTCCTTGGGGGAACAGGAAAGTAACCACAAGCAGTTTTGCATTAAGTTAAGCTAATGGGAGTGTATAGGAACTCCATCCCTACTCTAAAGTTTGGCATGAAAGATAGTTGTCCCCACCTCTACCAGGTGTCATTCTAGTCCGGTCACTGAAGGCACTTGACAAGTCCCAGAGACTACCTGGCAGTTTTCTGGGGGGTGGGTACCTGAGAAGGGGAGTCCGGGAGAGGAGTTGGGGTGAGGACCACAGCTATGCGCTCTTCAGAGAGAAGGCGCGACGAAGACCCCGGTCGCCCCCACTTTGCCTGGGTCAGGCGCTCTCTGCTGCCCCCCGCGGAGGCGCCCGGCCCCGGCCCCAGCCCCCCCAGCGGCTCCTCGGGAATGCTGGGAATGTGAGTCAGGGCCGCGGCGGGCAAGAGAGCGGGCGCGCTGGCCGGCCGGGAGGGGGCCCGCGGAGCTCAGCTCCAGGCAGCGCAGCGCAGCGCGAGCGCGCA